GGTGTGGGGCTGCCAGGCCCGCCGTGGGAGCGGGCACGGCCGCCAGCCCGCACGTGGGTGGATGACACATGTGCTTGGCTGCCGTTGCCGCTAATTTTCTCTCGCCTTTTTCCTTCATAAGTCCTGTCCTGGGCTGTTCTCCGAGGAAGAGCCGAGGTCTCCGTGTAACCGCTGCAAAACGGCAAAGAAAGCCGTTCTGTGCTTCTTGTGGAACAATCCTTTGCCTCTAGACTAGGAGCATCGGCTGCCTCCGCTCCCTAATTAGCGCCATAAGTAGAGCAGAGGGTGCGGGTGGGAAGGGTGAGAACGTACATACCCTGCGGAGGGAGAAGGGATGAGGAGAGAGGAGCCAGGATTTGGGCTCGGTCTGTTAGCGTTGACTCACGGCGATGCTGGTTAATCTTTTCGACGCCGAGCACCAGCTCTGCCAGGGGGCTGTGGGCTTTCCTCAGCCGAGCACGCAGTTTTAGTAGGTGTTGACCTTTCTGCTGTTGAGGCCCTGGTCTGGATCCCCCGCTGCAGGGAGGGGGTTTCTCTGTCAGCATGCACAGGCCACTCCGAGTTTTGAAATCCAAATGTAAAACACAGTGGGGGCGAGGGGAAAGGACAGCTAGGGCTGAGAAGGCTCTGCCCGGAGGGTTAGGAGAGTTGTGTGCTGTCTGTGAGTCGGGAGAGGCTGCCTTGCCCTAGCAGGGGCTGCTTCCAGCTCTCTTCACCTGGAAAAAGAGTTATCCTGATACGGAGACCTTTGTGATGAGGTGCAAATTGAACATGAAATGATGCTTTCCTCAGTGCAGAGCTGCAGTTGGCAGCCTCTGCCGAGAACAACTTCCTTCCCAGTCCAGGTTGATGACTCCTAAAATCCTCCAAACTGTTACTACTTAAAATTGAGTATAGTTGCTGTTTCTCTTTCTCTAGGGGTTGTCAAGACTGAGCGGGAGAAAAGTCACCATGAAGAACCAAGGCGGGGAGACCAAAGCAGCCCCGCGGCCTGCTAGCTCTTCCAAAATGAGCGGTGGTCTGGTGCTGGAGGAAGGTGACTCGCCGGAGGCCGCGGCACCCCTGGAAGGTGGGGGGTCCCCGGGGTCTGGGGTGCGCCACTCCCCGCCCGCAGCTGATGGCAGTGCTGACAGCCTGGGCAGCGCGGTGTGGGAAACACCTGAGGGCGGGTTTGGAGCCTGGAGAGAGTCAGGCTGGTGCTTTCTCTGTATGAGGGTGGGCATCGTGTCCAGCTCTGTTGGCTTGTATAAGAGCAGCTGGGATTTCCAGGGTAGAAAACCCTCGTTTCTTCCTATTTCTGTGTGTGTACAGTTCTGAAGTAGTTACTGCTTCCTGACTAAAGCGTGGAGTTGATTCTGGCCTGAAAACGACGGGTTGTTTGCTGTTGCTTAGACCTTAAGGGTTCCCGAGAGAAAACGTCAGACAACTCTTTCTTTGGGGCAGTGTTACGTTGAGTGACCAGCCCTGTTACTGGCGTTTCATCAAAATAACTCTGGAAGACGAAACCCAGGTCTAATCGAGTAGGTGTTTGGTTAAAACTAACCCTGCCTTGTATTCTGATGCCTAGTAAATGTGGGATGTAGGAAATCCGTGGCCAGTAGAGTTAGTTTAATGACCAACTGCTGTAAGACTCTCATTTGGAGAAACTTTGGAAGCAAAGTGTACTGAAGGATGTGCTGCCTGCTCTTTCCCCAAGGGTCTGCTGCTGGGGACAAGATACCTTTGATCTGCGACAGTACAGCTGCTCTTGTATGTGAGGAGAGAGGCTAACCCAGGTTTAAAGATGTATTGTAATGTAAAAAAGCCTGGCTCTGGGGATATTAGCAGGCAGTTCCTATGAGGGAAAGCTCACGCACAACCTGCTTTCGTTAAAGGATGGTGGGGAGGGGGGGGAATTTTTGCTCTTGACAGATGTCAGGGGCTTGGTCATGCTCTCGTGATCAAAAGAGAGGCTGTTAGGAATGCACCTCCATTGTCAGGGCAGCTGGCTGGAGACGCAGCCAGAACAAAGCAGCTTATGTTGCTGGAAGTTTAGCTAGCCCTGGTGCAGTGGGGTGCTCGGGAAACCTTCCCTTCGCCGTGTGTTTGTAGAGACCAGAGGATAGTCGGTGTGGGGGAAGTCTCATGCTTTTGTCTCCCACAGCTCCTCTTGCACAGGAGGACACCAAGTCCTCCCGGCCTGCCGTGCGTGACGTCTCCGAAGAGCTAAGCAGACAGCTTGAGGACATCTTGAACACATACTGCGTGGATGCCAGCCAGGAGGGTCCAGGCGAGGACGGTGGGCAGAGCGAGCCTGCAGAGCCGGAAGAAGCTGAGAAGTGCCGTAGCGAGTCCCCGAGGAACGGTGACCAGGAGACGGGCAGCCCCGAGATGAACGGGGAGAAGGAAAGCACGAAGGGGACTGAAGAGTTTCGACCTGGCGAGGAGTGTGGCGAGCGGGATCAGAAGAAGGCTCAGGAAAAGAAGAAAGCCAAGGGCCTAGGTAAGAGGTTCCCTGCTCTGGTTGTGCTGCCAGCCTGAGAACTTTGGTGCAGACATTGATTTTATACTGCAGTAATTGAAATAAGCACCTTGGGTGCGCGATGTGCAGCAGTATTTGGAAATGATACGGCATCTTGTTTTGTGGTATGTGAGGAAACGTACCGAGTGCTGCAAAGACACTGGCTGCTGGTGGGTGCTGCTGCAGCCTCTGAATTCTGTGCATTTCCCTTCTGCTGGACACAACCCTCTCTAGCCAGCCCAGTGGTGGTTTCCCGCTCTGAAAACCAGGTTTCTCCCAGCTGCTTCAATTGTTCACCCACTATATGTGGTGAAATCTGTGGGGCAGAGCCCTGAGAAGACACTGGAGATGCTAACTCTGGCCCAGGGCAGGCATGGCTGTGAGATGTGGTTTGTCTCTCTTGTCCTTGCCCTTACGAGCCAGAACCCCGTGTAAGGGATTTTATGTTGTTTGTTTATTTATTTATTTATGTATTTTAATTCTGTGTCTCATTCCAGGCAAAGAAATCACTTTGCTGATGCAGACGCTGAACACCCTGAGTACGCCAGAGGAGAAACTAGCAGCACTTTGCAAGAAATACGCTGAGCTGGTGAGTGCTCATTTCTTCGTTCCAGGCTCTGGGGCTGGGGGAGGACACTGCAGCAGCGAGTGAAGGAGCTGCTTGAGGAGGCAGAAGATGGCTGTAGATTTTTTTTCTTGATGTCAAGAGGGACAGTCCAGGAATGCACACGTAGCTTTGCTGTGTATGTTCTGGGATCTCTGCAGTGCTGGATGTCCAAGTATCAGAGGACAGATGTTCCTTGGTCCAGCCAGGCGTTGTCGTTTGCAGAAGTGTAAGCATGGACAGGAGTATTTTTAGCAAATCTGCCCTTAAGAGGACTTCAGATCTGTTTTCTCTCTGCTCCTCTAACGTGGAAGCTGCATCCTGTCCCAGGAGTGTCCTGTGGCCAGGTCTGTTCTGCTGAGCCTGCGTGTCCCGATCTCTCTGCAGGCAGGGCCGAGCTGGGAGTTGGCAGGCCCAGCTATGACAGAAGACTGCAGATACCTCTCCTGTCTGCACCACTCAGTTGTTGCATTTCTGTTGATCATTTCCTAGTAAGAAATGTGCGTTTGGCAGAGTCCTTGTGCTGCTCCTCGTGCACACTCAGCCATACAACACACACAGAAACCGATGCCACATTTAATCAGAGCTAGGCATAGATCTCGTTCTGTGCGTGGGTCTGGTACAAAGGAGAAGTGTGGGACTGTTTGTGCATGTCCGAAGTGGACGTATTCACATTTTCCCTGTGCTCAGAGTTCTCCATTTGAGCAACATGAATCTTTCCGATTCTAGCAGCATACAAATTCAGGAAGGAGAAAGGCCCTGTCCAGGGGACCTTGGGCTCTGCATCAGTCCTGCTGTGCTCAAAAGTGGCATCTTTTGCATTATAAAGCTCTAGTCCTCTTCTCAGGGCACAGAGAGCACTTCGTCGATCCCCTTTTCCCCTCATAGGGGCGCAGCATATTGTCCTGGTATATTTTGCTGCATCTGTGCCCTCTGCTCCCCTGTCACAGCTGGAAGAGCACCGTAACTCCCAGAAACAGATGAAGATCTTGCAGAAGAAGCAGACGCAGCTGGTGCAAGAGAAGGACCACCTGCAGAGCGAGCACAGCAAGGCCATCCTGGCCCGCAGCAAGCTGGAGAGCCTGTGCCGCGAGCTGCAGAGACACAACCGCACCCTCAAGGCAAGTGTTTCCCGGGCACTATTCCAGGAGCCGCTTCGTCCCAAACGCTTGGATCACTTGCTGTGAGACATTTTGGCAAACTTATCTTTACCAATGATTGCCCACAGTCTACCATCCAGGGCAGTGCTTTAATTTTGCTGTTAAGCCCTCATTATCCACAGTGCCTGAGTGTTATTTCAGGGTATATTCACTGGAGAAAGGGAGGGGAAAGGCCCAAAGTTCCTTCCTGATTGATAGAAACAACAGTGGGAGGCTGGGCAGGTTCAGAGCATCCCAGTTTGGGCAGTCTGCTCACCTGCCTGCCCAGCACAGAGGCTGACGTGTCCCTTCTGTCTCTGCCGTCCTCACGCAGGAGGAGGGTGTCCAGCGTACACGGGAGGAAGAGGAGAAGCGGAGGGAGGTGACATCCCACTTCCAGGTGACGCTGAATGACATCCAGCTCCAGATGGAGCAACACAATGAGAGGAACTCCAAGCTGCGCCAGGAGAACATGGAGCTGGCAGAGCGGCTCAAGAAGCTCATCGAGCAGTATGAGCTGCGGGAGGAGGTGGGTCAGGGCAGGAGACCTGGTGTAGGGCTGCTCTGGTACATCCATTCTGCCCAGTAAAGTGCGTTTCTGCTGCTAGAGGGGAGAAGGAGCCTCTGGGCTCTGGGATTTTCCCTTGGGGTCACTGCCCAGACAGCAAGGACTGGGCTGAGCATGTCAGTGACTGGTGGTGTTCCCTCGGCAGCACATTGACAAGGTGTTCAAACACAAGGACCTGCAGCAGCAGCTGGTGGACGCCAAGCTCCAACAGGCCCAGGAAATGCTGAAGGAGGCAGAGGAGAAACACCAGCGGGAGAAGGACTTTGTAAGTCTTACAGTGATTCTCCACTGGTTGTGAGTGCTTTGCTTTTTGCCTTGTCCCTCTGTGGACGCTTTTTGCTCTTGGATCCCTGAGTGCAGAGCCCAAATCAGATCAGGCCGTCCCAGCAGTGACCATTCCCCCAGTGGCTTCAGGAGCAAGGCTGGAGCCCTGCTCTGCTCCTTGTGTTTCTCCCAGCGTGCTCCCGTCTCCAGGCCAAGCGCCAGCCCTGCAGGGGCATGTTGAGAGCCTTCGCTTATGGCAGCCAGGTAACGTCTTTTTCTCTTCCCTAGCTGCTGAAGGAAGCTGTGGAATCGCAGAGGATGTGTGAGCTGATGAAGCAGCAGGAGACCCATCTCAAGCAGCAGGTGAGTTACCCTGTGTGTGTGCTTGGCCTGGTTATTTGGTTTGGTTTTCCTCCCTCCCTCAGTGGAGTTCCTTAACCTGGAAAACACAGGGGCAGGATTGCTGCTGAGTTTGGTACTGCTGAGCCCATGTCAGCACAGTCTGAGCTGAAACTTCCTTCAGTAATTCTGCCTGCTGGGAGAAAGGGGCCTTGGTTTTTACCAGCGCATTCCCCAGTGCTGGGAGCAGTTGTGTGATCATACCTTGCTGAATCAGACCCAGCAAGTGCCTCCTGCCAAGGCCAGGAGATGTTTGTGGAACACATCAGTCTCTGAGGATGTTTCCTAACAAAGAATTTTTCCACGTTCCCTGGTACCTAATGTTGGCAGAGCAGCTCTGTGCTGCCAGTTTGTTTGTCATAAAGTCCAGTCACGAGATAACTAGCTCAGTTCTTGGCTGACCTCTCCCCTCTCCAGTGGAAGGCTGTCAGGAGGTGCTGTGGTGAGCGGTGAGGAGCTGTAACCTTGTCTCTCCCCGCAGCTGGCTCTTTACACAGAGAAGTTTGAAGAATTCCAGAACACCCTTTCCAAAAGCAGTGAAGTGTTCACGACATTTAAACAGGAGATGGAGAAGGTGGGTAACGCTTTTGCTGCCCAGCAGCGCTTGTGCGGGCTGGAGACGCTGCCTGTCTGTCTCTCCTCGATGCTTCTGTGAGCTGGAAAAGCCGCAGCTCTGTAGTTTTGTTTAGTTTTGCTGGTATTAAAATCGGCCACGAGCTGGCTGCTCCCTAGAAGATCGATACCATCCTTGCACGGTGACTTCTGTGTCCCACCTGTGTCAGAAGAAGCAGCACCACCCCTGTCCCCTGCTTTGTTGTTACCTGCTGGGTCTTTCTCTCTGGGGAAGCTGATAGCAGAGGCACAGGAAGACGTTTCCCAGGACAGCAGAACCTCGCTGTCTGTGCTGGGAAAGTGGGTGCCCATCTGAGGACACATGAGATGTAACTGACTGCAGCGCTGTGCCTGTGGCTCATTTGTTCCCTTTTTGTCACTGTGATTCTGTAGATGACTAAGAAAATCAAGAAGCTGGAGAAAGAGACCACTATGTACCGCTCTCGCTGGGAGAGCAGCAACAAGGCTCTCTTGGAAATGGCTGAAGAGGTGAGGAGGTTCTGGCTGTCCTTCCGTGCGGAGGCAGGCAGCTGGTGATGCCCCATGTGGTTGGAGCTGAGGGATCGCAGGACAGCTCCTGTCTTGTTGCAGGCAGGCTGGGTCGGGGGTTGTGTTTGTCCCTTCAGCTTGATTTCCTCCCCTGTACGTGGTGGTAGGAGCCCTTTGTCATGTGTCAGAAATGACTGTTAATTAGTGCAGAGGTGCGTGGAAGAAGTCAGATAGTCTCAGCGGCGCTTGGCCTCTGTGGGGGCAAAGGAAGAAGGAAGCAGTGATGATAACATCAGGTCCTTTGAATGCCAAATGTTTGCTTGGTCACAAGTATTTTCCCCTTGAGCTTCCCTTTGAGGTTTCTTCTCTCTCCCTTTCTGCCTCTCTGTCCCCAGCATGGTAGAGTCTGAACTGCCTCTCTATTTGCAGAAAACCCTTCGGGACAAAGAGTTGGAGGGGCTTCAGGTGAAAATCCAGCGCTTGGAGAAACTCTGCCGAGCCCTGCAAACGGAGCGCAACGACCTCAATAAGAAGGTGCAGGACCTGTGTGCCCACGCGCCCCGGGCAGACACGGACCTGTTGGAGCCTTTGAAGGACCCATCTCGGGAGGGCTCCGAGGCGGCGGCGGGAGGTGCTCCAGCAGAGCAGCGCCTGGCTGAGGATTGCCTTCACTCAGGAAAGCCGACGCACAGCACGGATCCTGCGGAGAGCCTGGGAGAACTGAGCATAGGAGCCTTGGGGCAGAGTGGGACTGATGAAGTCACTCAGGGCTCCGACTGAGCCCGTGTGCGGTAGGCAGAGGTAGGGCGAGGGAGGGTACCGTGAATGTTTCCGTAGACTCGAGCTGATGCCCCTCTCCTGGTCCTTGGACAGGCGCGAGAGGACAGCCCTCCTGCGGATTTGAGATTTCCTAGCTTAGGTTTTTGGAGGGTTTTTAAAATTTTTATATATATATATATATATGATATATATATGATATGTGCAGGGCAACGTACACTTTATATATGGATATACATGAAAACTAGAACGACCCACCTCCCTGCGTGTGCGTGAATAACTAATATATGGAGACTCAATTGATCGTCCCTTTCACTAGAAGACCTTGTCATTGGCAGGCTGCGACTCCCCGAAAATCTAGCGCAGCTCAGGAAAGCGGGTGTGTGGATCTGGCCCGGCACGCGGCGCTGGGACAGCTGGGTGCGTCGCCGCCTCCACCTTCACAGTGACTGTCGCATTGAGTGAAAGCAAACGAGGCTGAGCAGGGAAGAACCGAAGTGTTTCTCAGCGTTGGATTCTCCCTCCCTCCTCTGCGTCAGGCAGGAGGGAGCACCCGGACTTGCTCGTTTCCTCGTGCCCTGGCTGGCAGCTCTCTCGTGTGCGAGGGCGAAAAGCCCCTCCTCTGTGTGGGTTTTGTGTATTGAATGGGGACAAAGAAAAGCAGAGAAATGGGGGGTGCCCAGTTCACCCAGTCCTCCCGCGGGGCCTTTGCTCTTCCCAGAACCTGCCAGTGTCTCAATAGCCTTATGATTCACAGTTGCCTCTTTGCTATACGCACATGTGCACAAGTGTATTAAACAGTTAATCCAAAGGTCTAATTCCCAAGTGTTTTGCACAAGCGCGTGTGATCAGTTGTGCAACGGGATGGGGAGGTTCCACTGAGCCCCTCTGTCCCCACGTCGGGACCTCCCCGGCCCATCCCTCGGTGCCGAGTGGGTGGCCTCAGAGTTTTCCACAGAGCTGAGGCTCCAGGAGGGTAAAACCTGCGTCTGCTCCACAACCTGCTGCTTGAGCCGAATCACCGGGACCAGCACAGGGACCGTGCTGTGAGCTGGTCCCTTCCAACCCTCCTGGGCCCTCCAGTCTGGCTGTGCTGGTGCTGTCACAGGTCCCCCATTCTTCTTTCCCTCTGCTTTCTCAGAAGAGCATCTCCCAAGTGCTTCTGTGTCTGGGAGGGTGAAGCGCTCGCCTGAAGGACACTGTTGTGCTGGGAGGGTGTTAATGGACAGAACAGCACAAGGCTTGGGGGATATCTCCTTAGTTTCTCAAGACTCTCTCGGTTCGCTGTTCTTTGGGAGACCTTTACTTGCTTGGAAATCTCCTTGCTGCAGCTTCTCTTTATGACAGACTTTATTTTCAGCATTGCCTTCCTTTTGCTTGAAGCTGAAGTGAGCCGGCCGGCGCCGTTCCTCGCAGTGGATGTGTTCAGCGCAACAGCTTTGGTTTCTTTTCCAGCAACGCAGCTGCTCTTGCGTCTTCTCTCCTCCATTGTATGGTGCCCTCGCAAAGGACCTGCCTCGCTGCCCGCGGGAGCTGCCTCCGCATCCCCCTTCCCTCCATGGGGACTCCAGCGAGTTCGGGTCGAACGAAGGTGGCTGTCTGCAGCAGAGACGGGGTCTAACAAGTCTCTGCAGAGCCACAGTTTTGGATATCCACTGAAATGTGTTCCCCAGAGCTGAGCATGGCTTTGTCTTGCGGCCCCTCGCTGTCAGCGGTGCTTCCTCCCAAGCAGGGACCCGTTTGCCTCCGGCAGCAGCCCCCGAAAAAGCAAATGTAGCTCTGGCCGGGTGGGAGCCCCCGTTCCCAGCAGCCGGGTTGAGCGAGGGCTGCAGCCGTGCTCCAGAGTTTTCTCCCTGCTCTTGCAGTAAAATAAAAACCTCTTAGAAAGTCACCAACCCCTCTTTTTTTTTTTTTTTTCTTTTTCTTTCGTTTTTCCCTGTGATGGTACAGATAACCTCTGCAGGGGCTGTTATATGTATCTTCATATCCAATAGAAAAATGCCCAACATTGCTGCTGCCGAGTCTGTTGTTTCTCATTCCTTTGGCCGTGTGCTGCCTCAGACCCCCCCCGCGGGTCCGAGCACTGGGGGTATCGAAGCCCCGACTGGCCCTGGAGTCCAAAATTGTCTAAGATTGGCTTAAAGTCCTGCAAAGGATTTAAATAAGAAGGCACATTCAGTTCTGTGTACACTGTGGGGATGAGATATGTCCTCAGTCTCGCCCCTGCGGGAGGGCTGGAGGCCATTTCCTGCAGAGACGGATCCTGTGGTCACGCGAGTGCGGTGACGCCGGGGGGATGTGGGGTAAACCTGGGGGGGATGGA